CCATTATTTTAGTCTATTTATAACCCCCCTCTCCCGGAACCAGCTCAGAGCAGGGAAACCTCAGTTGGGGAAACGTTTTGATTGTTGTTGTTGTTCAGTCACACAGTCAAGTCCGACTCTTCGCGACCCCCCTTCTTCTTTGACCTTCAGTCTTTCCCAGCATCAGGGTCTTCTCCAGTGAGGGCTCCCTTCTTGTTCGGTGAACATACAAGGTTCTAAAAGCATTAAAATGCTATAAATACACTAGAAATGACAGTGATTACAACAAATATCATGGAAGTCCATAAAATCCATACAGCTAAAAGATGGCGTTCCTGTGAAGGGCGATATAACGGTCTGATGAGGAGGGGAGGGGAGGGGAGGGGGGAGGCCAGTCATAGATGGAGCCCTCCAGAAGGGAGCCCTTCGCCACCCTCAACCATCGGCCAGGCAGAACAGCTCTGTTTTACAGGACTGTAACAAGCCCCGCAGGGCCCTGATCTCTCCCGGGAGACTGTTCCTCCAGACTGGAGCCGGGCCCAAAAAGTCCCTGGCTCTGGTTGAGGACAGCGGCATGCTCTTTGGGCCAGGGGACCGCCAGCAGGTTTTGATCACTAGCAGGGGTCATTTCCTGCAGGAGCACACAGGTGCGGAGCTCCAGAAATAAAGAGCCCAGGGGGCGGGCACATGCAACAAGCCCCACCCCCTGCTCCTTCTCTCCCTCTTTTTTCATTCTTTCCCTCCTTCTTTCCTTCTATTTCTTTCCTCCTTTTTCATTCTTTTCCTCCTTTTTTGTCTTTCTTTCCCTCCTTCTTTCCCTCCTTCTTTCCGTCTCTCCCTCTTTCTTTCCCTCTTACCCTCCCTCTTTCTCTCTCTCTCTCTCTCTCTCTTTCTGTCTGCACAGATCTATGTGAGGGCATATCTGCACGTTCCCCCTCCCCCCAATAGCTAGCAATCCAAAACAGTGCAGTGGAGCCTGAGCGGTGGTTGTTGCCTTCTGACACACTCCCGGTGATGTCAGGGGGTGTGGCATATGCAAATGAGTTATGCTAAGGCCCCCCCCCCCCCCCGAATAGCTGGCAATCCAAAACAGTCCAGTGGAGCCTGAGCGGTGGCTGTAGCCTTCTGACACACTCCCGGTGTCAGGGGGTGTGGCATATGCAAATAAGTTATGCTAATATTATGCTAATAAGCTCCTGCACCTCTTTTTCTACAAAAGGGCCCCTGCTAGAGCATAATGCTGTTTGAGGGACATACCAGGCAGTTGTGAAGGTCCCAGAATATGGATTTCTGGGAGGCAAATCGGGGTGCAGTTGGAGTTGTTAACTTCATGTCCCGCTCTGCAGAGCCAGTGTGGTTTAGTGGTTAAGGACTAGGAGCTGGAAGACCCAAGCTGTGACCTTGAACTAGTTGTTCCTTTTCTCTCTGTCTCTCTCTCTCTCTGACTCTGTCTCTGTCTCTCCACCCCCCCAAGGGTTGCCGGCTCTGAGTTGGGAAATACCTGGAGATTTGGGGTGGGTGGGGCCTGAGAGAGGGTGTGGTTTGGGCAGGGGAGGGACACTGGACTTCAGTGGGGTCTAATGCCACAGAGCCCACCATTTTCTCCAGGCGAACTGATCTCTGTGGCCTGGAAAATCAGATGTAATAGCAGGAGATCTCCAGCCACCACCTGGAACTTGGGAACTCTGCTCTCTCCTCTTAGCCTATCTTCCAGGAGTGTTGTGAAGATACAGCAGAGCAGGGGAGAATTGGGTGTGTCGCCTTGAGCTCCTTTGGAGGAACGGTGGGAGGGAAATGCGCCACATGAAACGGACTGGCCCAGTGTTGGAAAGAGGAGACCGGGTGTGTGGACCTGGGTCTGACCTAGCCGGAGAGCTCTTAATGTCCTTCGATTAGCCGAAACGCACCCCCTCTGGTTCCATGGACATGCCTGCTGTTTAGGCATCCCGTTTTAAAAAAAATAACTTTTATTATAAGAAAGTAATTATAAATAACAGCAGTTATTATTCATCAACATTTGTGAATTATGTCAAACTGTCCATCAGAGGTTCCCAGACTTATTTGGCGTCCCGCCACCTTTTCAGAAATGAAATTACTCAACCGCCCCCCCCAGAAATCTGCCTTCAAGAAGTGGACAAAAAGATGCAGTGACAAACTTGCGCCCAAAGCACCTGCCGCCCACCTGGATCGTTCCAGCGCCCCCCAGGGGGCAGTACTGCCCACTTTGGGAACCAGCGCTGTATATAGTTGAATGTTTAAAAATATATTCCTAAAAAATTATAAATATAGGAGAACTAGTAAGTAACAAGCAGCAGTTTTATAATTGCCAACAAATATTTTTAAATCCATTAAAAGATAAGCCAAAATCTCATTATACCGTTCGTTTGTCTTATGATATTTGAAAGAATGATGCTGTGCTGAGTAATCCATAAAGGGAAGCCATTTGTCTAATAAATTAGAGTTACCTGAAGTAGATTCAGTGGTTGAAATATGATCAGCTATTTTGTCCATGGTGACCATTCTGCAACTGAAGGAACAGAGGTCTTCTTCCAGTGAGAGTCGGCGTCTCATTTGAAACTATAATACTAATGATAAACTTTGCTTTCCTCCCCTCAGTGCCTGTCTTTGTGCCGGAACGGCCCAGGACCCGGGCTGGGAAGGGAACCCCCATTCCGGGATACACCCCTACGGAGGGCACCCCTGAGCAGCTCGCAAGCCCGGCGGCTGAGCCCCTGGAGGCAGTGGACGATGCGATCGTAGCTTTAAGCTCCCTCCACCTGGAAGATGATAACCCTGCAGAGGCGGGCGAGACAGCTCCCGGTCCCCACTCCCCCGACTCCAGCCCTGAAGGCGGGGCTAGACGGAAGGGCCGGGTCTCTCCCGGAGGAGTAGAGCTGGCAGGGGACAGCCAGTCAGAAAGCATGTCGACCAGCTCTCCTGAAGGGACCGGCCAGTCAGGAAGCCCATCAGCAGCCTCTTCTGAAGGGGCAGAGCCAGCAAAGGGTAGCCAGAGAGGAAGTTCATCGACAGGGAGTTCCTCTGGTGAAGTGGAGACACCTGCCAAAGAGACAAAGGTAGGTGCTATGCGGTCCTCCGGATCAGCAATTTTCCTGAATCTTTACGTTCAGGGAACACTTCCCACGTCAGTTTGTTTGCCATACAACCTCTGCAGACTGGAAGGGATTCTGGGATGTATTAAGGGCGCACGCAGTTCACGCAGGGCACCGTCCACGCCAGTTTGCTGTCGTGGTTAGGAGCGCGGACTCTACTCTGGGAGGAACTGGGTTTGATTCCCCACTTTCCCACATGCAGCTGCTGGTGTGACCTTGGGTCAGTCATAAGTTCTTTCAGAGCTGTTCTCTCATGAGCCGTTTCTGTCAAGAGCTCTCTCAGCCCCACCTACCTCACGGGGTGTCTGCTGTGGGGAGGGGAAGGAGTTTGTCAGCCGCTCTGAGACGCCTTCGGGTAGTGGAGGGCGGGGCACAAATCCAAGCCCCTCCTCCTTTCTGTCTGAGAGTTCTCCTTGAGCACACCCACCCTTCCTCCTGTAAGCTGCAGGATCCTGGTCCTCCAGCGTTTCGAAGCGGGCCCCACCTTTTGGGGGGCCCGCTTGCAAAACTAACTCCATGCCGCTTTCCCCCTGCCTGACAGGAAGTGCCGAAACCTCACCCCAGAGTCATCACTGCTTCCTGGCTCGCACTCCTCCTCCCTCCTGGCCCTGTAACCCAACCTGCGAGAGATCTGCCATCTGCTTTTGGATCCCGGCCTATGATTTGTGAACTGCTGCTGTAGGTCAGGGTCCAGGGGCAGCTTTAAGACTAACCAAGTTTTATTCAAGGTAGGGGCTTCCGTGTGCATGCACACGGAAGCCCGTACCTTGAATAAAACGTGGTCGGTCTTAAAGCTGCCCCTGGGCTCTAACTTTGCCCTACTGCTTCAGACCAACGCGGCCACCCCGCCTGCTGCTGTAGGGAGAATCACGGTAAGCCAACTGACGTCCAGACAAGCGTGGCCTCCACTGCTGGTCTTCTCATCGAGGAGATGCCAGCTTCCCCAGAACAGAGTCCGGGAACCATCGCCACCTGTGGTGCAAGATCTTCTTTCAGTTTTCACTCTTGTCTCTCCGTTTTCAGTTCCCCGTACTCAGTCTTCTTCCTTTTTTAAAAACACACGCCCATGCACGCGCACACAAACAAGAAAATGCTGGAGACCAATGTTCCCTCTCAGCTGTGGAGTCTTGTGAGCAAGAATTCTACTTTGCGAGTTCCTGGCATTAAAGTGGCGAGCGAACGATTTGGCTACTGCATAAATCAGTTTGCTCTGGAGCCCTCCTTCCTGAGCTGAGACTAAAATATGTGAGCTGGAGGCTAAAAAACTGTGAGCTAGCTCACACTCACTCAGCTGAGAGGGAACACTGCTGGCGACACCAGCCAAAGTTGGGATCTCGGTCGGTTAACGCATTTGGGGCTGCTTTTAAGCCAAAACTTCTCATCTGGATTAGGAGGCAGGGAGATGGGCGCAACTGGGGGGGGGGGGGCAGCCTGGTGTCCCACCACTGACCACAATGAAATAGCTTTTTACCCATATCAAAATGGGTTTGCACCTCCCCTCCTCTTTCTTAGCGACTGCCCACACCTTTAGAAGGGGGAGGCTTCCTAGTTCTGAAAAATGTGGATTTGTAAATATTATTGCCCTGATACAGGTGGCGCAGGCTACCCTGATTAATAGACCACTGAGGAAGTCCAGGGTTGCTACGCAGAGGCAGGCAGTGAGCATCTCTTGCCTTGACCTGGATGGCCCAGGCTAGCCTGATCTTCTCTGATCTCAGAAGCTCGGCAGGGTTGGCCTTGATTTGTACTTGGATGGGAGACCACTGAGGAAGTCCAGGGTCACTACGCAGAGGCAGGCCATGGCAGAAGCCACCTCTGAACATCTCTTGCCTTGAAAATCCTATGGGTCACTGTAAGTCAGCTGCAACTTGAGGGCGCTTTCCTCCACCCCCACCATTCCTGGCCTCACCACAGGGTTTCACGGAACTCTGATAATTGGGCAGAGGTGGTGGGTGGCGCACCCTAAGTTTAAAAGCAAATGGAATGGGTGTTAATATAAGAACATAAGAGAAGCCAATGGTTGGATCAGGCCAATGGCTCATCTAGTCCAACACTCTGTCACACAGTGGCCAAAAATACCAGGTGCCATCAGGAGGTCCAGCAGTAGAGCCAGGGCACTAGAAGCCCTCCCACTGTTGCCCCACCCCCCCAAGCACCAAGAATACAGCGCATCACTTGCCCCAGCCTGAGAGTTCCTATCTATACTGTGTGGCTAATAGCCATGGACGGACCTCTTCTCCGTATGTTTATCCAGTTCCCTCTTGAAGCTGCCCATGGGCCACCTCCTGTGGCAGTGAATTCCATGTGTTAATCACTCTCTGGGTGAAGAAGTACTTCCTTTTATCCGTTCTAACCCGACCGCTCAGCAATTTCATGGAGTGCCCACGAGTTCTTGTATTGTGAGAAAGGGAGAAAAGTACCTCTTTCTCTACCTGCTCTATCCCGTGCATAATCTTGTAAACCTCAATCATGTCACCCCTCTTTTGCTTGGACCAACCAAATTAACAAGAAGTGCGGTGTGAGCTTCCAAGCTCCCCGGGGCTCTTCTTCAGGCTGGGTGGAAAAGAAAGGGTCGGGAACAGATTTTTTTTCCAGACTGCGATATTAAGCTTTAAAAGTCTCTCCTCCTTCCCTTCTGCCAGGCAAGCCGGCCAGATTCATCCTCCATGTCAATTGAGGTCATTCTGCTCGACGAAGCAGCAGGGGGTTGTTCTCCCTCCTGTGAGCTGCTTGGCGAAGATCCATCGGATGGGGTAAGTGGGGGAAGGCTGGAGAATTTCCTGCAATTAATGAAAGGCGGTGGGGCGGAATTTATGCCCTGAAGGAGACTAGGCCTTTCTGAGCAGCATCTTGAATTGGCTTTAACATCTATTCTTTGGTTCAGTCTCATATCCCACAGGGCTTTGCAGCCTGGCCAGGGCTATATTATTTCAGTCAAGTGTTACCCTGAAGATGCAGTTCATCTCAGAGCATAGTTGACATTCTTGGAGCCAAAGCGTGTACCAGGCGAGAGTCAAGAGATATAGTTATTGGTATATGGCTCCTTAGCCCCATCCATCTTTATAGAGCCTCCTGACCCCTCAGATAATATACCCAGTTTGGGCAAAGTTCATATTACCATCCTAAGAGGGGCTGGCTTTTGTCAAGTTCGTCACATTTCTAAATTGACGTTCTACGTTGGTTCTACGGACCGCAGAAGGGTATATATTACTTGCATTATTGTGACTCTGAGCTGCCAGCCAAAGACTCCTGAGATTTCGGTGTGAATCTGGCTGACAGACAGGAATATGCCTCTATAAGTCAGGCCCATTGCCAGGATTTTGTGGGGGCAAATTATTTTTCTGGTGGGGCTGAAGTTCTCAGTACAGAAAGAAGAGCCATTGAGCCCATAGAAAGGTGTTAAAAGGATAGATCTCTGCATTGCAAGCTGTCAGCCACTTGAGATGACAGTCCTCAGCTGCTGCAAGTTAATCACTCCTGCCAGCCTGAGCAACCATTCTGAGAACAAGCCGATAGGTGGGGGTGATGACTTCTATAGTAAAAAAGCTCACACTTGGGCAGAAAAACTCTCTTAAAGGAGACCAGTTTCTGGACACAGAGTTAGAAGGGATCCTAGAGGTCACCTACTCCAACCCCCTTGACTCTGTGTGGGAACTGCAACACCCCACTCTGCTTATAGGAGCACACGCCTTTAAAAAAATGTTTTTAAATGATCGAAAAAAAGCATTCACCGGAGAAACGCTTGTGGGCTGTGCCTTTAAGAAAGGCATCGGAACCCCCAAAAGCCCCACCGTAGCTATGGGCCTGAGTGCACTCTTTAGGCACTGAGTTTTCTTTAGTATTGCTTGCATTAAGGATTTTCTTTGCATTTTTCCGAAGTTTGGGTGAAGTTCAATAAACGGTTTTAGTGTGGCCCAGCTGTCTCCTCTCTCTCTCCCTTGGAAAGGCTTCGGCCCCTCGCCGGCCTCCTTCCAGCCCAGCCGTACCTTGGTGTGGTTCAGAGTCCCAGGACAAACTCCTGGGCTCTGGAATTCCCCTTCACAATCCTATCCGGAGTTGCTCCAGTCTAAGCTACGCCATCTTCTTGGTTTGTTTGTTTTTTGCAGGGGCTGTTCTATGCCGTGACTCCCCTCCCGTGGTGCCCCCACCTCGACGCTGTGCTCCCTGTGCCTCCCGCTGGCCTGAACGTGCTGGAGCCCTGTGTGGCGTGCGGCAGCCAGGCCGAGAACTGGGTCTGTCTGATTTGTTATAAGGTAAGGCAGCCAAGTGGTTCAAGCGGTTAAGACGCTGAGTTGCAGACCGGAAGTGTCGGTAGTTCGGCAGTTCAAGACCCAAGTGCCGCGTGACGGAGCAAGCTCCCGTCTCCGGCTCCTGCCAACCCAGCAGTTCGAAAGCAAGAAATTGCAAGTAGATAAAGTGGTATCGCTTCGGTGGGAGGGTAACAGCGTTCCGTGCGCCTTGGTGTCTAGTCATGCCAGCCACATGACCACAGAGATGTCTTCGGACAGCGCTGGCTCTTTGGCTTGGAAACGGAGATGAGTATCGCATCCCTAGAGTCTCTGCCTGAGAGCTGCTGCCAATCTCAGGGGACAATTCTGACTTCGATGGACCAGGGGTCTGACTCAGTGTAAGGCGGCTTCATGTGTGTTCATGTGTGAGGAATGTTAATGTGACAACAAGGCTGCTGGCCAATTATATCTTGGGGGTGTGTGTGAGAATGTTCCTTGCCTTGCTAACCACAAAAATGACGAGCCACCGAGGAAGAAGGAAAAGCCATCCGTCTCACGAAAGGAAATGTTACAGGGGTAGAAAGAACACCCTCCCCCATCTGACAGCAATGCTGATTCTGTGAACTTAGGCAGATCGCGAGGAGGGAGGGCAGGAAGGGTTGCCTCAGTGCTTAAGTTCTCGTAACCCTTTTTTACACACCTAGGGAAATGTGATCCCTACCCTATATCCTGTAGAAGAAGAGTTAGGGTTTAGTTATTCCTTTCCCCAATCCCATAGACATTGAAAAACAATAATTTTTTTTTAAAAGAAAGCCAACACTTAGGCAGAAAAACTCTCTTCAAGGAGACCAGTTTCTTGACACAGAGTTAGAAGGGATCCTAGAGGTCACCTACTCCAACCCCCTTGGCTCAGTGCAGAAATTAGTCAACCACAGCACCCCAGTCTGCTTAAAGGAGCGCATGCCTTTTTAAAAAATGTTTTAAAATGACTGGAAGAAGCATTCACGGGAGAATTTTTTTGTGGGGCTGTGCCTTTAAGAAAGGGGACAGAGCCCCCCAAAAGCCCCACCGTAGGTACGGACCTGCATGGTGATGAAGCATGCCACAAGACAAGGGGCATGGGCTTCTGAGAAGGGTGTTCTGGGTCTGCGAGCTGAACATCTCCGGATGAGCATGGCCTCATTCCCAAGGCTGATTTTTCCTGTCCTGGGCCGCCTGCGTCAGCTTTGAAGACTGCCTTGTTTTTCCCTTCTGCTCAGGTGTGCTGCAGCCGCTACATTAATCAGCACATGGTGGCCCACAACTCAGAATCGGGGCATCCGCTGGTGCTCAGCTTTGAGGACCTCTCCGTCTGGTGCTACGGGTGCCAAGCCTACATCCACCACCCGGTGAGTCGTATAACTGGCCGTCCCTTTTCCCCCCTGCTTCCTTCCAAGGGTTTTCTGCTCAGCTGATCCATACTGTGTAATGCCACGCTGGGGCAAGTATCAGTTGAGTGCCTGTCTCCAAGTCCCTTACTTTGGAAGCCTCGTTCCTTCATCTTGGCAAGGCGCAGAGAGGCTGTTTGCACCTATTCAGAAGCACCTGCCGTGTTCTGCGATATGCAAGGCTCAGAGCTCTGCCACAAATCCCAGCCCCTCCTCCTGTGACTGGCAGACGTTTTCTGACCGGAAAGACAAGCAAACAAACACGGTGATATACTGGCAAACACGTTTAGTAACACTTTTGACAATAGTCATATCAATCTTTTGTCACATTACAGAGAAATACATCCTTACAATATTACAAAGAAAAGTCCCCCATCGTCATGTTACCCATCCTCATGATGTTGCTATGAACACCCGGGTGTAGGCTCATTTCGTCAAAATCTTCCTCAGGAGTATTCCTATTTTCTTCAAAGTTATCAGCCTGTTGTTGCAATTCAGTGTTTATTTTGGGAGCAAGCCAGTCCTTAACCTGTAACAGGTTGAAATACAGAAAACCAGTTTGGTGGAGTGGTTAAGTGTGTGGACTCTAATCTGGGAGAACCGGGTTTGATTCCCCACTCCTCCACTTGCACCTGGCTGGATGACCTTGGGCAAGCCATAGTTCTGTCAGAGCTGTTCTTGAAAGAGCAGTTCTCTCAGATCTCTCTCAGCCCCACCTACCTCACAGGGTGTCTGTTGTGGGGAGGGGAAGGGAAAGGAGTCTGTAACCGCTCTGAGACTCTGAGTGAAGGGCAGGATATAAATCCAATCTCCTCCTCCTCCTCCTCTTCTTCTTTTTCTCCTCCTCCTCCGTCTTCTCCTTCTCCTCCTCTAAACAGATTCAAAAGCCTTCGATACCACTGGCTTGCTCCTAATATAAACACTTAAATATACTATATAAACATAATAGAGCATGATATTATATTATGTATAAATATGGCTTGCTCCTATAAATATAAACACTTAAGTGGTATTGAGAGGTAAGTTCTTAATAATATTCTTAATAGCATTCAGTAAAATGAAAAATTATTCACTTCCATTCAGGTTTGTGTTGTTCCTCATTGTAATAACCATGGTTCATTCCAAGATGATAATTTTGAAGAAAATAAATAGATTTGCAGAGAGTATTTGGCCAGCCAGATTCAGAAGGCTTTTGCATGATTTATTGTATACAGCACGGAATTTGTCTGTAAGCATCAATATGTATTCACAGCTCCACCATTGAGATAGTGGCCTGAAGAAGTCAAAAGAAACGGACGGCAACCTAGGCGATCCGTAGGCACTTCATTTTGTGACTCTGTTTAGAGACAAAACGGGAACGGTTAATGACTTCTGTGAAAAAGGACTGTAAAAGAAAAGACGAATGCATTTTAAGGACACAATTTGTTGTCTAATGCTTTATTTGTACAGTATGTTGTTTTTTGGGGTGGTTTCCACCTATGCTGCGTTAGCTACCCACCTTGGTTCTTCTGTTCCATAGAGTTAAGTGTAACTGCTGAGTATCTGAGTTGACGCCCGTGTGCTTTTTCTGTTTGGCTTTTTGTCAGACTCTCCTCGACGCCAAGAGCCACGCTCACCGGGAGAAGTTTGGCATCAGCCTGCCCGTAGCGGTCTGAGGGGCGACTCCTCGGCCCGGAGATACCAAACACGACTGCAGCACAATCGACCGTCCCATCGTTTGACCTCAACGAATTGGCGCCCTGACAATTCCGGGGCTCTTGCCGTGCCAAAAAGTCGACAACCACCAGCAGCCACGAGTCCAGCACCAACAACCACGCTGCTTCCACTGAGCCCAAGACCACTGTCCGTCCCCCCGATGCCCCAGTTCACATTCCAACATCAGGCAATACCAAATCGGCCGCCGTGGAAACCACTTCCAGTCACAGGCTGTATTTTGCTTCTCCCCGTGTTGAAGCAGCGCTCTTTCCAGAGGGGCTAAATTGCCCGTTCCTGCTCATACTTGACTTCCAGTGCCTGGTGGCAGCTCTTCCTTTCCTCCATTCCCCCCACCCGTGACTGTCTCTTTCACTCAAGCACTCCCTCCCAGTATGACAGTGACTGTTCTCAGCCGGAGGAAACCAGGCAGAGTTATGAGAGTGCGGAACGGGGGATTAACTGCCACCCATTACTATGTCAAGAACGATCCCCAACTAATTGGGTTGGGGGGTCAGGGAACCTGCCTTGGGCAAGCGGATTTCCTTCCCACACTGCAAATAAGCCGGCTGTAAGAGGTTGAAATACGGGAAACCATTTTCTGCAGAAGAATAGGGTTCTCTAAACTGGGGGGTTACTACCGCTAAGTATGTGTATATATCTATATCTATATCATTGGTGGCAGTTTTTGCTTTCTTTGTTCAAAGGTACCGTGGTGTTTGTTCCTGCACATAGCAGGAAGCGTGCATATTTCTGGGAAGACGGAGGGTCCGAAAGACGCGCCGCCCCTCCGAGTTGACAATCCGCAATTCTGAGGCTTAGATGCTCACATGTTTCCCTGCCAATTAATGTGGGATCCAAACCAGGCCGAGGTTGAGGAGCAGTTCCGTGTCTGCTATGTCACCGGACAGGTGGTCGCACTGACATGTTTAAAATGGCCCCCTCCTGCTAAGGAGCCGTTTCAGGCCCAGGCAAAATCCTCACGTAGCTTGGTGTGGCGACAGCATCTATGCCAGAAGAGAATGGGGAGACCTCGGGCCCGGTCGCCGCCTCCACACCCCAGGCGTCATCGAGAGCTGCTCAGCTGAGCGGGCCTGGCCCTTCCAAACAGGAAGCGGGACGAGTCGGGGAAGGGGGCGTTTATCAGCACTTCGTTTCCACAGTTTTCCTGGTCAGTTCTTTGATCCCCCCCACCCCCAAAGAGACAGGGAGGGTCGGTGTTGAATCGAAGGCCTCGGAGTTCCTGAGTGTCTTCTTCTGGGCTGAAGTGGCGTGACAGCCACCTTTCCGTAGCTTCCTGCCCCCCACGGATCATTTTCTCCTCTCTCTTAACTTGACGGAACAGAGGGACTGAATGGGGACAAGGCCAATTTTGTCCTCCCTCTACCCAAAAGAGGAGGAGTTGGAAAGGGCTACGAGTGGGCAGGGAGTCGCTGGAACCCGATTAGAGGTGGGTCGCGTGGCCAGGGCTGGCCCTGGTGGCACGTGTGTGTGTGTGGAGATAGTAGATGGAACCAGTATAAGAACAGTGGTAGATACTGAACGGGGGGGGATCATTACATTATAACCTCCTAAAATCCCTTTCTCTGCTTGATTTTTATAATGTCTCTAAATAATTCAAATAAAAGCATTCATGTGGATAATGTGTGTGTGTGTGCGTGCGTATGTATTTTACACCCTGAGGACACGGTGAGCTCAAAAATCCCTTTGTTTCAGTGTCCACCCCACGACCTGCTCTCCCTGTAGGAAATCGATCATATGAACATAGGAAGAGGAGGAGGTGGAGGAGATTGGATTTATACCTCATGCTTCACTACCTGAAGGAGTCTCAGGGCGCCTTACAATCTCCTTTCCATTCCTCTCCCCACAACGGACACCCTGTGAGGTAGGTGGGGCTGAGAGAGCTCTGAGAGAAACTGCTTGTGAGAGAACAGCTCTGAGAGAACTTGTGACTGACCAAGGTCACACCAGCAGCTGCACGTGGAGGAGTGGGGAATCAAACCCGGTTCTCCCAGATTAGAGTCTGTGCTCCTAACCTCCACACCAAACTGGCTCTCAAAGAGCCCTGCTGGATCAGACCAGGGAGGGTCCACCTAGTCCAGCATGCTGCCTCACACAGTGGCCAACCAGTTCCTCTGGAGGGCCAACAACAGGGCAGAGAGGCTGAGGCCTTCCCCTGATAAGAACATTAAGAAGAGCCCTGCTGGATCAGACCGGTGGTCCATCTATTCCAGCATCCTGCCTCCCACAGTGGCCGACCAGCTGTCTCTAGGAAGCCCGCAGACAGGATGACTGCAACAGCCTGTGCTCCCCAGTGAATGATTTACAAAGGCATCTTATTTGTGGTACTGGAGTGGGAGCAGATATCCATCATGATTAGTAGCCATTTGATAGCCCAGACCTGAATTTCTCCACCCCCTTTTTTAAGACTTCCACGTTGGCAGCCATGACCTCATCATGTGGCAGTGAGTTTCGCAAATCAACTAATTAATAATAAGGGCTGCAGTCATTAATGTTATAGATGCTGTAAGAGCCCCCAATATTAACAATTATAAGAATCACCAATCGAGGAATCATTAATACAATTAACAAACATAAGACTATAATAACTGGTAGAATAATTATCAACGCAATAGGTACTGCAATATTAACAATTTAA